TTTAAAGACAAACCAACCAGTCTGCTTGACATGTGATATCTTCTGCCATGCAAGAAGGCCCTCACCAGATGGTAAACAAATGCCTGTGCCCCAAAACGAGCTTCATCAGCATCTACTTGTTTTTAAACAAAAAGGAAAAAAAAAAAAAAAGAAAGAAAAACCACCTTTAGGGCATGTGATAAGTGAAATACCATTTCCATACTATTTCTGCTACTTCATGGATAAAAATCCATTAAAAATTTCACCAGGTCACTACCAACTCAGAGAATCTGATTCACCACGCTGTCAGATTACTTTAAAAGAAAATTCAGGAGCAAACCATCACAAATAGGACTTTTTATTGGTCACTATTAAAAATCTGGATTTTAAACAGATTCTTGAACTGGTGGTTCATATCCATCAGCTCGTTCAACTTTAGCACCCGTCTCATCTCCTGTAGCTTTTCCAGAACTACTACCTTCACCATGAAGCTCCATGAGTTTTCCCACTAAAAAGAAAAAACATTGTTAGTTATAGCTTATCATATCTTGAAACAATGATTTGTTCAATATACTATAAAAGAAAAAAGGTGTTATTTGGCCCTAAGAAAAAAAATTATCTAGTCCCACCATTTTTCTTTCACAAATATTGCGATTTCTCACTTACATTCAAACTTGGGCTTCTTCAGCATTTTTACTTTTCTAACAAAGACATCATGAAGAGGATAAATTGATTGGCAAGCCTTCTCTATGTCTTTCCCAATGCTGTCTGGAATCCTGCAAATCACAAGTGATGGTGAAATTAAATACAAAAACCAAAGTTCTGGTTCTCACACATGGGATATCCCATTTCCTTTACATGGAAAGAAACCCTAGAGTTAAGTCTACACATAAAACGCCTCACTTAACCGAAGGATATCCTTATTAAGACTATTATCACCCCTTTACAAGAATAGACTATCTGAAAAAATTAATATCTTAAGCCTTCTGAGTCCAAGCTTTAACGGTTAACTATTACACCCTCTTAAACATCTGTATGCTGCTTGGGAACATCAGAAAAATGTTTAATTATCACTAGACATCATCTGGGACCGAAACTTTTTTTCATCACCTGTTCCCAAGCATTACTAATTGTGGAAGATTGTGTATTTTCTAATTAAGGCAAAACATCTTTCTGCTGCTAGCTTCATCCACAAAAAGATTAAAAACAAACAAAAAACCAATTTACTTAAACACTTTAACACTCTTTCATTTAAGGGATATAGCCAGGATTCACAGAGAAGATTTAAATATGGGTCTGGTTCCTCCTTGGAGCCAGGGTTATCATATGCTTTCCCTCATCTAAGGCAGGATTCTGTTGTAAGAGGAACAAAATAAACACTTACAGTTTATTGACAACTTCTTTCAAGTCATTTGTCTGCACTTCCCGGGTCATAATTTCCATCATCTTCTTCCGGATTTGGCGGACCTGCTGGTGCTGAGCGTAGGAAGTCTTCCGTATCTGATTGTTGCGTTTTTTAGTAAAACCAACACAGAATAGACGCAGCAAATAACCATCGGTAGTCTTGACATCAACATGAGCCTCGATCATCGTCTAGAGAGAAAAAGACACTGTCAGATATAACACATTTTAATGTCATTAATTCAACCCTCAATTTCATTATTAAAAACAACCAGGTGGGATGCAGTGGCATACTCCTGTAATCCCAGCAACGTGGGTGGTAGGGGCAGGAGGATCACAAGTTAGAAAAAAAATCAAAAATCAAAGAAATGGGGGCTGGGGATATAGCTCAGTTTGGTAGAGTGTTTGCCTTGCATGCACAAGGCCCTGGGTTCAATCCCCAGCACTGCAAAACAATAAACAATCAAATGGGGCTGGAGTAGTAGCTCAGTGGTAGACCATCAGCACCAGGTTCGATCCTCAGCACCACATATAAATAAGCAAAATAAAGGCCCATTGACCAAAAAAAAAAAAAAAAATTAAAAGTAATAATGTATATGATTTCACCTTCCAAAAAAAAAATTGTCCTGAACAAATACTGTAAAAGCACATTTCTTAAAAAAATATTTTATGTTCCAAACTAAAGCTATGGAGAACTAAATATTTAATTTCACAGCTAATATATAATCAAAGTTCATAATGAGTGATCATATTATTGTCTAAATTTAAAATACAAAAGGCCACCTTAGGTGGTCACGAAAAAATTGATTTGCCTGCTTTCCACTTATTAAACATACTTTTATTTTTAAAATGAACATTTCCAATCCCCAGCACCACAAAAAGAAAAAGAACACATCAACACAACCACAGTCATACATTTCCAGAAATGCAACCATAAAACCTTAAGGGAATGTCAGAAATAAATGTAACGGTATAATCAAGATGTATCATTTGGGACCGAAACATTTTGTCATCATTCATTCCCATATACAAAATATTCCAAAACTAGACAGTTAGCCAGCCACTTGTGAACCAATATATTTTCTGGTACCACCAGCTGAATATTTTGTGTTAAGCACTGTGCTACATGGATTGCTTATTTCACCCCCACAATTCATTGAAAGAATATACTTCTCTCCACAAGAAACAAAGCTTAGCAAACAAAAATTTACTTCTCAAGAATATAATGGGACATGGAGTCATGATTTAAACACCACATCAGAGAATTTTCCACTGTTACACCTCCCAGCCAGAGGCAATCAAAAGGTTAACCTGAGCCCCCCTTTCACTCTAAATTCACTAGATTTTGAGATCCCAAAATATTTTAGAAACAGGCAAAACTGCAAGCCTCCCCTGGTGGTTCCAAACACACCGATGAAAACTCAGTATTAAACCCTGGACTCAATTTAAACATGTCAAGTAAAATAGGATGATCATAGTTGGCTGTGGTAGCACTCTCTTATAATCCCCAATTGGGGAGAGGCTGAGGGAAAAGGATCACTAACAACTGGGCAAGGTATGTTTCAAAATAAGAAAATTTTTAAAGGGCTGGGAACATAGCTCATGTGTGACCCTAGTTCAATCCCCAGTACCACCAAAAAAAATAAATAAATAAAATAAAGGATGGCCAAGGCATCATAAACTCAGCAGTAGCAACCAGAGTTAGCACATAATAAAAATCAAGAACACAATCAAGGGCTGGGGTCATAAAGAAGTGGTAAAGTACTCGCCTAGCATGTGTAAGGCACTGGGTTCAATTCTTAGCACCACATAAAGATTCACTGACAAAAAAATATATATTTAAAAGGACGAAATCAAAAATTTCAAATGAAACCTAAATCGTCATTACATATGTTCCCTTCCTGTCATCACACCATGACATCCTTGGTCATGTACCCTATGAACTCCAAGAAAACTTTGGGTCTCACCTGCCATTTTTTGACCATGGAACACATTTTGTCACGGGTAAGATCCATGCCATGGAAGTTGGTTAGGCAGTTTTTTCCCTGAACATCCTCAGTAATTAGTTTGAACTTCCTAAATGCAACTTCATCATTCTGCAGATCAGCAAGACTCACTTCAAACACCCGACCCTTGAGGCCATCAGAAGCAATTTCTACAAAATAAGAATTGAATATCTGATTAACATTAGGAATTACATAAATACAAGTCTACTAAGTCATGTATATAAGCTGAGATTAAAAATTAAGTTAATGGTAAATAAAGACCTTAATCTTTGTTATCAAATTCATCAAAACTTCAATGACTTATTGACAGTGCCCCTTAGAAGTTCCAAACCACTTGTCCACTGTTAGTGAACTCTAAAAGCACGACTCTTGCTTAAGAGTACCACAAAAACAACCACCACAGGTGCCAAACCTAAAACCAAGAACCGAGGTGTCCTTAAAGTCTCCTGTCACGGGACGAACAGAAGCCCAATATGCCTACTACAATACATATACCTCAATTAAAGAAAATGCAAACCAAGTATAAGATACTCACTGGTTCCCTGGGTCCTGGTGACTAATGTTTTTCCAATATTTCTTATATTGAACATTGCCGGTGCTTTCACATCATACCAATCTTTCTTAGAAAATGGATCAACCCTAGGGGGGGAAAAAAAAAGTTTACGTTTCATTGCAAGTCTTGTATTTATTACTGAAATTTCTTACACCTTTCCTTATTTAACAATAATGTTAACTTCACTTCCCAGCAAGATTTTAAGAAATCTTAACTACTTAACTACTACCTAACACTAAAGTCAATCAATTCCCTCACAGTGAAATGAGGCACGCACACGTGAAGCTTGATGTTCTGAGCCTCGCTGTACAGCCTACAGACTCTAAGGTTATGGCCACTCTCCTCCATGATCCGCCCATCACACGGACAAATGTTCCTCCGGTAACCTGCACGTCTCGCGAACTCCACAGGTTCGTGAAGGCACAAAGTGGTAACAAAGACCCTTTAGGGTTAGCTTCTCAGAACCTCCCACGGGGCCCAAGCAGTAGAGAGGTGCGGGTCCCTGAGGGAGAAACTTCCTGGACAACAGTTAATGGAGTGGCACCAAAAATCCACGGACATAGGCTACCCTGAGCGCACAGAACAGAACACGCCGAGTCGCGGCGAACACTCGGCTCACACGTGGTGCGCACAAGACCCAGGAAGTCTGGGGAAAAGCAGGCAGCCCTGCGCAACGCAGCACCCAGATCCGCCAGGCCGCGGTGCACTCTGAACCAAAGTCAGGGCCAGCGCAATCCAACAGGCATCCTCGCCATCCAGCCCACACCGCGATCTAGAGCCCGCCCGCCGATTCCAGCAGGACCCCAACAGCGAGGACCGACGATAGTCGCCACTTACACTTTCTTCTTGGCTCCCTTCTTGCCGCCTTTTGTAAGGCGCTTGTTCTTGCCTACCGCCATGGTGCTGCTCAGAGAGCCAAAAGGACGGAAGCGCCACTCGCGCGAGAACTTAGGCGTACGGGAACGGGACGCGCCGTCTACGTGACCTCTGATCTTTCGCCCTTCCGGCGTCAAGAATATCGCGACAGCAAACGGAGCTACTCCTTCGACTGTAGTTGCGAGAGCGCCCTCGTGTGTGAGGAGGCCGCCTAGCACGCCTTGGGCTCGCTGGGAGACCGTGCTCTGGAGACTCAGGTGCCAGCCGCCTGAGGTGCAGACCTAGTGACCTGTGGTTTCTGTGGCTTTGAAGTGAGGAAGTAAGTTTCCGAATAAAGAGAGGGCCACTCAGCATCCTTCAAACCTGAACTCACCGTCTAACACTTCAGCCACGTTTCTTCTCAAGAGCATGCACTTTGCAGTCACTGAGGCAGGAGAATGGCGAGTTGGAGGCCAGCCTCAGCGACTTAGCAAGGCCCTGTCTCAAAAAATGAAAAAGATTGGCGATGTGGCTCAGTGATGGAGTGTGTGCCTACCATGCGCCAGGCCCTGGGTTTAACCCCCAGTTGGGGGCGGGGGGAGTGCGGGGGGAGGAAAGAGGAAAAGAAACCCAAAAAAGTGTGTTTGTTATACAGTAACAATACATTTTTTTAAAGTAGAGTAAAATCTCTAATTTCTTAAGATTTTTGTAGCAATTCATATATATATTTTGCTTATATATACTTAGTGCCTCAGTGAGTTTTATATATATACACACACACACACACACACACACTTTTTTTTTTTAACTGTCGCAGTTTAACATTTCCTGGCAAGATGTGGCCCCTGGAAAGCTTCTAGCCCATACAGCATACAGGTTGGGTACTCAGCCGGGTGTGTTGAATTCCTTTGGCAAACTTCCCCTCTGGGGAAAAAAACAAGATGACCAAGCTAGAAATCATCCCCTGCTCACAAATCCACCAGCAAACTTGTAAACATTTTTTTTTTAATCACAAAATTTAATTATGGTTCAGAAAACATTGAGCAAATAACATTCTTTAAAGAAATAGATTAACTCCAGTTATTGGGTGGGAAGCTACTAATAAGTTTATGCTATTTTTCTTTCTTCTCCTTTTTTTTTCCCTTGGGGTGGGCAGTGGTGTCTCACTTTGTTGCACAGGCTGGCCTTGAACTTGGAATCCTCCTGCCTCAGCCTTCTAAGTAGCAGGGATTACAGTTGTGCGTGTGCCATAACACACAGGTAAGTTGCCCTATTTTCTATGTTGAAAATGACAAAAAAAAAAATGGGCTGGGATGGTGGCTCAGTGGTAGAGTGCTCACCTAGCATGCATGAGGCACTGGGTTCGATCCTCAGCACCACATACAAACAAACTAATATATCCACCTAAAATTAAAGATACATATATAATAAATATTTTTTTAAAAAGAAAAGAAAATGACAAAAAATCTCATTTCCAGTCTGACTGCAAAGATATATGTGCCAAATGTCTGAAAATAAATACAATATGAAAGGCAAAAGTTCTAAAGCTAAGGGCATGCGATAGACTCAGAAATTTTCAGAAACACCCAAAGTGGCAACAAGGAATTTTTGGCTAACATGTGAGGGTCCTTTTTAGTTATGATTGTCTTTTGTTCTGTTTAAGGATCCACATGAACTCAATGTAATTGAAATTCCCCTTTTTGTGAATAGGTGTTTCTCTCACAGCTCATCCACTTCCTCATCGTGAAGTTCAAGAGACATGCTGTACTGACCACAGCGTAGTCAGCAACTCTCTCAGGTGGTCCTCCCAAATGGTGCCAGTTGCTCCTTCATCAAAGCAACTGAGACCTGTGGTGCACGCCTGTAATCCCAGCAACTGTGGAGTCTGAGGTAGGAGGACCACAAGTTCAAACCTAGCCTCAGCAACTCACTGAGGCACTAAGCAACTTAGCAATAAAAAACAAAAAGGGTTGGTGATATGGCTCAGTAGCTGAGGCACCCTGGGTTCAATCCCCAGTGATTTCCCCACCAAAAGAAGCAATCAAAAGCACTCTGATCCTATCTCCGGTATCTGTGCATCTAACTTTTTACCAAATACTGTGAGACATGGTGCAAGTGTAGGGCCCAGCGCCTAAGTTGTCACAGCATCCAGGTACCAATCAATCGGATTTTTCCTCAGTGAGGCTAATATACGATACAGATCTTCCCTGTCAGTAAAACCATCTCTGATCTGAACAGTTATGTTGTAGGTCTCTGAACTCCTGAATCTGTGACTAGTCCAATCTGAAAAAACACACTGCACCCTTGCATTTCTTGGCCACCTAGCCTTCTCCCTTTTGCTCCACAGAGGAATGAGTGGTTCAATGCCTGCACAGCCATGAGGAACCCAGAATCTCAGTGAACCCCTTGTTGCTACCATCCAAATCATATAATCCCTTCCCTCCTTCTATCCTCCAGCCCCTGCCTCCTTTTACCCCAACCCTTTAAGATAGTCTTTCTAAATTTCTAGTCTCAACTTGAAATTATTTATTCCTGTAGGATAAAGCCAACAGTCGGGATATACTTTAACACTACTGAAGCGTACTCTTAAAATGGTAAGATGGTAGGTTTTATGTGTTTCTCACAACAATTTTGTTTAAAAAAAAAAAAAGGGCTGGGGTTGCCTAGCATGTACAAAGCCCTGGGTTCTATTTCTGCCCCCCTCCAAGGGGAAAAAAGTGCTTAGCTGAGGATGACACTTACTCAGCCTCACTTATTCCTTTGTCCTTCCTAGTTCCCGACTACACACGCTTCTCTTGCTTCCATGTTTCCCTTCATCAGCAGGCTCGTACCTGTGCATTTTCAAGGCAGCTCAGCTTCATTTCCTTTTTCCATGAGATTGGATGTCTAGACAAATAGACTTTCCCTCACAGCTGCTCCCAGAAGACTGACTAGTAACTGCTGACTAAACAGGTCCTTTTCACCATGAGCAAAAAAGCACACAGGGCAGCCTGTTTCTTCTTTGTGTCCCATCTCATGTGGCAACCCCTCAGATTATGTGTTGAATGAACAAATAAGAGTCGAATTGACATGGGTCACATTTTGGATTTAGTAGATTAGTCCAGATTTTCAAAATAATTTTTAGAACCAACAGGCCTGGGGCTAGTTGGTAGAGT